CGATCTACTGTAGGTATTGTCCATGGCTGTCTAAGGAGTAGTGTCAGAATGAATAAAATGCAGGTGCGGTAATGTAAAGATTGGGGGGGATGGTTAGTGCACTTTCATTGCCCCTGAGGTTCTACAGTAGTCAGGGATTTTCCCAGACCCGTAGTATCTTCCTGCGATGGGAGTGGAATGCGTGTGGGGCCCTGAGCTGAGATTCTTATCCTGTACTGGGGCTGGAAACTCGTTAAACCACTTCAGGTCTGTTTCCTCATCTATAAAATAGATTCAAAAAATTGTTGTAAGGATTTAGAGTGCTGTGCTAGATACTCAGCAAAAAGAGAGTCCCGTATTTGACCTATGGTTGCTTAGGTGGGCCAACAGTCTATGTTCTGTGTGACAAAAGAGATATTTAAAAGCCCTATTAAAATTTGGACATTCAAAACTTTCAGGCGTGATATCCATTTATAGCGGGGTTTTAGGTTGTGTAGGATATATTGGTCTTGGGGCTGATGTAACAGCTGTTTTACAAAGTACTTCTGGATCAATGTCTAGGCAGCTGGAGTATAATGTCGGGGTTGTAGGCCACCTTTTTGGATACCTTAGTACATTTTACTCACATTTGGAATGCAAAACCAACGTGATGTCCATTTCGAATAGGATGGTTCCGATCTTTGGATGTGCGTTTGGCATCTGAGCACTGATGGGCAGTTTCTTAACTGTCGTGAAAACGTTGATTACCTAACTTTAGATGGGAATTTTTATACTGGTCCTGAGAATGGGCCACTGTCACTCCTAAAATTGTAGGTAAACCTTTGTGTGTACATGTATTTTTCAATAAAGAAGAAAAAAGGGGTCTTGTTGTCAAAAGGTCTTTGACAAAATGGTTAAGAAACACAGCCTTACTGGTTAAGTTAATAAATGTTCATAATTTGGTGTAACTCTTGCAATGCCTCCAGCATTTGGCTGTAGTATTATTCAACTTTTCATTCATTACCAGAAAGCAATGTGAATCTATATAGTGTTTTCAGTGAAAAGTCAATATTTTTTGCTTAATTGTCCCTCTTGTTTTACAGATGGAAATGACACTGTGACCAAGTCTTCAGGTGCCCTTCAGCCTAACAACCAAAGTGTAAGCATATTCCTTGCATGTCTCCCTGGAGGCAAGTTACATTTAGAGATTATTACTGTTAAAACTAATCTACAGACAGATTCTTTCTAATTAAAAAAAACTGGGGGAGAAAAGAACTTGACTCTTAAATAAGGATGCTTTAGTTAATTTAAAAAATCTGTATCGATGCACCAGTTTATTAAAAATACCTAATAAGTGGTACTTTATTCTACACTCACGCACGCACACGTGTGCATGCACACACACTTCAGGCTTTCTCCCGGCCAAAAATTAGGAAAAAAAAGAATGCATTAATTCAAAGAGCACAAATTTACATACCAACGGTGACTTCAGTCATCATTAGGGAAATAACATACTGCGAATTGATGTGGTGTAGTGGAGGCCCCCCCAGATAAAAATATTACATAAATGAAAATGTGTTTGCTTAGACATAGGCCCCCTCACATCTTTTTTCTATATAAAAATTTTTAGGCCACCGCTATCTTTATAAGCATAAACCTCCCTCTATGAAGACTTACTAAGATCCTGATGTCTTGAACAACTTCGTGATTCTGTAAGATGTTCTCATGCTTTTCCCATAGTTTGCTTGAGAAAAATCTAAGGGGCCCAGTCTCATGATGTTCATCCAAGTCTCATCTTTGGAAATAAGTCAGAAAAATTCATCAGTGGAACCTTTTCTCTTGATTCCCTTTGGGAGGAAGAACTTTCCTTTTACTATGTGCAACTCGCTCTTTGAAGTCACAAACAAAAAGAATTTAAAGTATGAGCGTAATCCTGATTGCAAGCGGTGAGAAATTACAGCATGGTCACTGTAAGAGAAATTCAAGCTCAGGCAAAGCAGGGTTATCTAGCGTAAGGCCAAATGGCCTTAGGCCACATACCTTAGTGACAGTAACACCACAACATGGGAATGATGTTAAAGATTTTAGCAACTCTCCTGGTACAGGCACTGGTTGATCTGATGGACACGGGCTGAGTTTGTATATGCCTGTTAAATCGCAGAACTGCCACCATGATTATTCTATTATTCCAAATGATTATTCTATTGCTGTGCAGTCAGATTTATGCTAGACTGAAAAAAACCATTCTGAATGGTAAGATTGTTCTTGACCTCAGTCACCTGTAGGACAACTATGTTTAGCAACAAGTAGAAGCAATTTAGAAGCAAGTTCACCACAGTCGGTAGCAAAACTGTGGGCTTTCTGTGTCTTGACTCCGAAGATGCCAAGATGTCTCCCAGGTGCCTTGAAACCAAGCAGCATATATTCTGACCCAGTAGGTCAACTTTCTGAACTCCGTTTTAAGGAGAGAATTGAACAAATACGTGAAGAAATATGAGAAAAAAAATGTTCATCGCTGCTGTTTATAATCACGAAGATGTTGTGAACAACCTAAATGTTCAATAATAAGGGATTAATTACTTAGCAAGGCATGCCCACTTATTACCATGAAGAATGCCATCACTGCAGCGCATTTAGTGTTAAGTCAGCATCGATCGTCAAGTGATAAACTAACTTGTCAAACGGTGTATATACTGTAGTCTATATATTGAATATAGTCATTGTTTCTGTTAAGAAAAACACTAGAAGGATAAAATTCTAGAAGAGTACGTAATGAAAAATGGTAATAGTGGCTGTTTCTGGATGTTAGGATTATGGTGGATTTTTGTTTTCCTTTCTTTATGCTTAGCTGCACATTCTAAAATGAACATGCAGTTTTTATGTAACATAATATTTTAAAAAAGGAAGCAAAGCCTGCTTCCCTTTTTAACCCGATGTTCCATCTACTTTACTCCCCACAAGTAAGATAGTAAACAGCTTTTCCCCTCCGAAGACACTGGTCGTTCCCCCTTTACGCAAGGGCACCTCGGATGCTAAAATGCCTCTGTATCCTTGTAGTGTTTATGAGGAAGTGCCTAAAAGCACCTTTGCCAAGAATTGTATTTAACCTGCATTTGATAGCCAGAAACAGAGAGGCTAAATAACTTGTCTAGGGTCACACAGCAACTAAGTAAAAGAGCTAGGATTCTGACTCCAGAGATTAAACTCTTATTCAGGAAGAGACTTGGGACTCGATCCTTTTCACTGATCTTCTGCTTTCTTTCTGTTAAAATATCTGCCCTGTGGGGCCTCTTAAGGATGAGAGGTAAACTATGTAGAGGGGTCGAGGGTATTTCAGGCTTATTCCAGGAGGGGGTGATCCCTTTTGAGCTGCACTAGGGGATTTAAACAAAATTCTGTACTTCTCTCCAATTGCACAGCATTTTAATTGTTAATCAGAGCCATGTCTATGAGCAGCTACTTTCCAGTCCATTTATAAAGACATAAACTCTCGAATTCTAGCTAAAAAAAAAGTAAGTTTTGTAATCAAGGGCTAAATTCCATAATTGAGCACATTTAAGTAACATCAGATAACACCACCACATCAACTTATATGTGAACAAAGATTGTTGTTTTCTTTTTTAATATCATAAGAAGATTACTTATGGAAATAACTTATTAATTTTAAAAACATATGTGTAATTTATATATAATAAAGCACACTTGTTTGAATCGCACAGTTGGCGTTTTGGCAAAGGTATATACTTAGATAAATACCACCCCAAGCTATAATACATTTCCACCAACCCCAAAAACATCTTGAATTTTTAATTGTCTTAGAATTTCACCACATGGTTATAACCTCAGGTCATTGGGTCTTGTCCCTCATAATCTAGATGTAGCCAAGGGCCAATAAAGGTAAATGTGTCTGGGTACATTATTTTAGGAAATGTTTTCTGCCCATAATTCTAACAAGCTGTTTGTTTGATCTGCCGATGTTTCCTTAGCCTGCAGTGACGGTAGAAAGTCCATGGAGGACCAACAATAAGGGAATCTACATTGGACTCTGTATTGCCGCCATAGTGTTATTGGTCACGATTTTGACTGTCTTGCTTGTCAGAAGTAAGTCACTTAAGAATTGTGCCTCTGGGAGTATTCTTGAGCCAAACTGCCTGGAGCCCCCCGTGTGCCACGTGATTTTAATTTCACCTAACTTCCTTGTTTCTTAACCTTGCTCTTCTTTATTTGTCTTAAAATTGTTGTCCCATGGAGAGAAATAGAATATTTAAATTCTCCATAGGAGAAATTAAATACTGAGAAATAAGAGTTGGTTGGGTAGAGCTGGGATTTGGAAGGCAGCAGACCATTGTGATGTGCAAGCTTTGTTCACTCTTCCTCTCCCCCTCCCTCAAGAACCAATGTTTGTCCGTGTATGGGGCAAAGTTGTAGAGGGTGTTACAACACCCATTTAACAGAAGAAGCAAATGAGGCACTGGGAGGGATAACTGACTTCAGAGCTAGGGCTAGAGCAAAGTTTCACCAAGGAGCCATCTGGGGCGTCCTGGTCTCCTTTCCACCAGTTGTGTGTGTGTGTGTGTGTGTGTGTGATCTTTTGCCTATGAAAGAAACACAATCTCCCACTTTTACAATGAAATATAGTAATTATGTTAAAATAAGCCAGGACATGTGGGTTATTATTATTATTATTAATATTATTATTATACTAAACCATTAATAAATATGAGATACTTTACACTCAGGGGCTTGTTTGGATCCTGCAGATTCAAAAAAAGTTACCTGGAGTTATCAAGGAAGAGACTAGATTGGGCTTCTTCCCCCCCCCCCTATTTTTTTAATCTTTCTTCTAAATAAATTTTTTCAGGCTCTGAGTTCTGTACAGATTTTGTTCATATTAAAGTCATAACAGAAATAATACACTTGTTTGAAAAGAAACCTCATGAACTCTTTGGCTGACATGTTTAATTTTGTCTTCGGTTCTTCCCCAATTCAGAATATTTGTGCCTGGGAGGCAAGGTGGAGCTTCTACGGTAAGTTTAAGATGGTTTGTGTCGATGATCTTTGATGTTCTTATTCTAGTAAAAATACGGAAAAATTTCTTTCTGTCCCTCTCCTCTTTTCCTTCTGAACCTTCCATTTTATAGTCCGGATCCTGAAAAATCTAGTATCAAGAGCACCTCCATTGCTGTCCAATCTTCCAGTGGTATTTTCAGTGTCCCTGCATTTCCCCGGAATTGTGCCAGGACTGCTACAGAAAGGGCGCCTCAACCCTAACCTCCTAGAGCAAGAGAACTAAACTGCAGATTCTGCTTGGTGGGACATTTGAATGGGCTGTGTGGTGTGTTATTTGACTTCATTCAGTGCTTCGTTTATTGAATGTTGGTCGCATGCCTACTATATTCCAAAGAGATGATCAAACCAGAGAGAAAACATACACACAATAACCAGCGTACTTTTAGTACATCCAGAGAAACACCACGGGGAGCATAGAGCAGGGCAAAAGGCCATCTGAGTGAGCCCCAGAGGAGTAGAGAGCAGCTCTGCGAAGGTCTGGAGGAAGACAACTCCAGGCTGAAGAAGCACAGAGGCCTCGGGGTGAGGCAGGTACCTCGACGTCTCCACAGTTCCCATCGTCCCCTCATGTTCCACACCCAGCCTGCTCTGGTCATTTGCATTAGTTATCTGGCCCTTTTTTTCCTTTTTAAAAAATTTTACTTTTTTACTGACATGTGGTTGATTTACAATATTAGTTTCAGGTGTACAGCAAAGCAATTCAATTATATACATACATATGTATATATATATATTATATATATACACACACTTTCAGATTCTTTTCCATTGTATCATAGGCACTTGAATTTACAATTTTTGAAAATTTTCTCCACTGCCCAATTAAAAGGTAAATTCTCTGTATATGTCTCCCTGGAGTCATTTGCCCAAACACCTGCAATGGTTAGGAAACCACTATTTCCAAATCAGAATAGCCTGCTTTATGGGGTCCAGCTTGGGCTTTAAGCAAGGTCTTTCTTTGATTCAAAATCCATTCTTCTTAAGCTGCCATCCATTATTCCTAGTTCTCTTGCATTGGATGTTTGCACAGCATCTTTCCTATGTCTGAGTTAATCATGCGAGCCAGCCCACAGAACGGGCCTTGAACAACGCCCGACATGTCGCAAGTGTTCCGTGAACGCTGGCTTTTATTACTGCAGCCATGCCCTTCTCAGCAGCAAACCTGTGAGGTAGGCACTATTATTGTTCTCAGTTCACAGATTGGAAAACAGGTTTAGAAATGTTAAGCCACATCCAAGGTCAGCAGACTCAATCTTAGGTCTTTTAAAGTCCAAAACCCATACTTATAGAAGTTTTTGACTATCTGCTTCCAAGAATAGAAGAAAAAAACAAACTCTCTCCAGGCAGAAAACTGTGAAAGATAGCATCTTTTTAGTTGATTTCTGTCCTTTCACTGTTAACTTTTTTTCAAGGTCCACTTTTATGGGGGAGGTTATAGCTCAAACAGTAGAGTGCATGCTTAGCATGCATGAGGTCCTGGGTTCAATCCACAGTACGTCCTCTAAAAATAAATAAGCAAATAAACCTAATTACCTCCCTCCACCAAAAAAATGGGGGAAAAAAATCCCACTTTTAATCACTTAATTATAAAAGAAAATATGCATTGTAGCAAATGTTGCGTAAAATAGAAATGGAAAACAAAACAAAACAAAAACGAGCATTTCCTCATGACATTATTTTTTTGGGCAGCTCTACCACACTGACTCATTTTGAACTATTGACACCTGAACTGTTTCCACACATGGATGACTAATCTATTTAAAGATCAGAGCTGAATGAAGACCCAGTACATTTCCTATCATTTCTGGGCAGGCTTAGGTAATAGTCACTGTAGTCATTAAATGCAAATTATAAAAATAGCAGCTGTCTCAAAACTGCACAAATGACCTTTTCCTACACTTGATGTGCAAGTGTGTGTGTTATAAAACTCATCTAACCCCTGGCTTTCTAATGTGGATCATTCAGACATGGTAAGATTTTTGACTCCATGATCCGGTACACATTTAGGTGAAATGATGCTATTTTACTCCATCCATTATGCTCTGATATTTTGTATACTTATGTCTGTTTATCATAAATACAGGACATAGACCACTACATAGATTGAATAACCCTCTCTAAAGGGTCACAGCCTACAGCTGGGAAAACACCAGCCAAACCACTTCTTCGCTGTCTTTGACAACATGCATCGTGATTTAGCACTTCAATCTGATGTCTGCCTTCCTGGATTTTCAATTTTTGTATTCTAGTACATGAGGCCCTTGAAGGAGACCAGTTGGAGTTTTGTGAAACTATTGCTTAAGTTTTCTATCTGCTTATTAAACAGAATTTCCTGCAACCTCATGTTCACAAGCCTGGATGCTTCTGTTCATTCCCTAGGCTGTGTGAACAGGGTTCTGGGAATTGCAACGACGCAGACTTGCCTGACCTAAATGTTAACGTATGTGCTGCTTGTACTTTAGAAGTGGTCTGTTTTTCTCTTACTCGTGTTATTCTTTCTGCAGCGTGATATCATTTAAGGACAGTCACTTTGGAGCTTTGAAAAATGCAGCTGTAAAGCATGTCCGAGCAGAAGACAATGTCTACATTATTGAGGACAGTCAGTAAGTCGTGGATTAAGATTCGGTGGCCTTCTAAGGCGTTATGACCTTGACTGCAGAAGATAGTAACCAGACATCACCATTGACGTCTGGAGCAGGACAATTTTTCGGTCAGTTTCACCTGGCATTCCAACAAGTCAGTAACATTACGTAGAGTGTCGCTAGCTCAATCTTTGTAGTCCTAATGTTTTGTTAACTAGCTCAGTCTTTCTAGTCTTTGCAGAGCCCTTGCCAAAACATGGAATGTACCCCTTAGAATTGTGTATCCTCTTTAGACCTATAAATCCTGTATCCATCAAGAATTCTTACTGGGGAGACAGAAAAAGCATTGCTACCTTGGTCACTCAAGCTGTCAAGAAGAGTTGGATGTGACTTGAAATCAGTAAATATGATTTGGGACTTTAAGAGCTTCACTTGAAAGCATTTTATGGTTCTCTTTTATTTTTTATCTAGTAACTCCAAATGTTCTATTCCTTAAGGCCCCCAATGGTTTCAAATCATGGGTTGCATAGGTTTTCATTTACCCAATGGGGAAATAGAAGTGAGTGTGATTTTACCATTAGAGGCAGATCTGGTTTCTCATGGCTCTGGAAATATAAGGTATTAAGTGCTTTCCCTGGGACCAGGATGGGTATTTTAGCAGTTCGGAGAAGCTAGGGTAGTGAGCGGACCATGTAGACACCAGGGGAAGAAAATCAATGGCCATGTGACTTGTGCTGTGTCTGTTACATTGTTCCATCTGTGCTGAAGTTCTAGGCACTTCCATAGACAACTATCAGGCTCTCTGGAGTAATTTTTAGAATGAAGCAGGGCAGAAATAAATAAATGGAAAAAAAGAGAGGGACGGAGCAGGGAACAAAGATTTCTGCCTTAGGAAAGTTGGTTTGCAAATACAATCCTGTTGTTTGAGAGTGTTCCTAGTTTCAACTGAAATTCTAAATTGTCTTCAAACCACTTTGATTATTAAAATTGTTTTGGGAGGATGAAGGATCTTTTTCATATTGAATTAATTTTTTTTTGTTACTGCTTTTTAACAATTCAATTAAAGTTTTGGTTTTGCCAGCAGAGTTTGACAAAGGCTAATGGTAAGGATCTTTTTCATCACCAGAAGCATTTCTACATGAATAGTTAACAAGCCTGGATTTTAATTTCAGTTTGAGTAAACCCTGAAACAACTCATGCTTGGTGTTCAGAGCTACTCACACCAAAGTGGTCTAAGTGGGCTGGATGCTTGGTTTTGAGCAATATGTTTGACACTTCTGCATAGTTCTAGGAAACTTACAGGACTTCTGAAAAAAGGTTCTATGGGCAAAGGAGATTGCTGAATATTGAACACTGATTTTCACAGGTGGTACCAAACTGACCTGGGTTAAAAAATTATGCTCCAACTACAGTGATTTTCTTTTAAATTCAAGACAAGGTGCATAAACATGGAGGTTGCAAATTGAAGCCCAGATTGGTAGCTTCTCTGGAAAGACCAAGCAACACTGGACTGCATTCCTGTGCAGCCAGGGCCCCATTAGATGGCATCGCAGCCCTTATCCCCCAGCCCTTCCCTTGCCTGCGTGTTCATGCTTGTTACCTGCTTTGTGACTTGTGGGGTTTGAAATTCATGGTGCATGTTCTATTCTCCATACCCTTCCTGGAATTTGATGAGGGCATATTAAAGGTTCTGGGAACTTGGTTAACTTTGTTTAATCCAGCATTTCCAAAATTTGCTTGAAACCCACGAGTGCAATGACTACTGATATACCCAGTAGCATTCTGTGCAACAATACATGGAGCTTGCGGGGTAGCGGGTGGAACACAGAATTAGAAATAGGACCTGAGTTCTAATCCTAACTCTTACCAGTAACATTGGATGACATTAGGGCAAATCATTATGCCTAATTTTGTTTTACATCTATTAGAATTATTTCCATACATACCTCGATGTATAGTGGTAATTCCAATGACGTGTTACTTGTGAGAAGTCTTTGAAAAGTGGAAAACACTACACAAATGAAAAGTCTGTGTGTGTGTTTGTGAGGACTTTGTAGGGATAAGACATCCAGCTTCAGTGCTCAGTAAATTTCAGTGGTGTTGCATTCATCGGTCTCTTGCTGTATGTGCCCCTTTAGTTTTTTGAATAATGTTTCTATTCTGGAAAAGTTGATATTGGGTAACTTGGCTATCATTTTATATTGCAGAAAAATTCATCAATAACTGAAAGGGAGGATGGATTAGAGGGAGGGAAGGGGAGGTATTTAGTTAATATCAAAGTCTTTTCTGTAGATGTATCAATCTTATAGAATGGATCGCCTTTTGTTTTTGATCTTTTGAGACAACTGAGATTCCATTTTCTATAATCTGTCTTGGGACATTAGGACACTGATGTAATTAAAACCATACATTTAAATTTAGGACATTTTGCACATCGTTAGGAAGTAGAGGAACCAACCTGTCACTGATGGCTGGGAAGATAATCTTGGGAGTACATGAAAGGGTAAGGGACTCTTCATCATACGTTCTATTTGTAGGTCCACTCATTAATAAAAACGCATTTTTGTTTTCATTGTAGAAACTGACTTGTTTCCTTATTCTCATCGTTTAGTTGAGGCCAGGCATCTTTATCTTGCTGTGGACTCCCAGGACAGGGGCAAACAGGGCAAGATTTGAGAACCAAGCATGTCTGTCACTTCTCCAGGTGCTGGGGGTAGAGCAGAGAACAACCCTGAACTCCAGGTCCTGAAGAACGCCAAATCAGTAGGAGAGATCTCCCCACACCGTCAATTCTGGTTGAAAATGCTGTTGATAGAGGATGCCTGGAAGGTGTGGGGAGGTGGGGAGTGGCAGAGTTTTAGCTACGTTGGTCAGGAACTGCCTCTAGGAAAGAGGTGACATTTGAGTTGAAACTAAAGGAAAGAAATCCAGCATATGCAAAGGCCCTGAGGTGGGAAGAAGCTTGAAGGAGAAAGTACGGCATGTTCCAAGGACTGAAAATGTCAGTGTGGCTGAGGCAGAGTGAGTGATGAAGAATGAAAAGAAATGCAGCTGGAGAAACGGGCGTTGTATCTCACAAAGTGCTGATGCAAAGAGCTGTGTGAACATTCTTGGAAAACAAAGCACTTTTGCTATTAAGAGTTAAACCTGTTGTCCTGAATTGGATCCTGGAACAGGAAAGGGGCATTAAGGGAAAAACTGGTGAAATCTGAAGAAAACCTTTAGGTTAGTTAATAGTCATGTCCCAGTGTTAACCTCTTAGTTTTGACAAATATACCATCAATATGCAAGATGTTAACCTTAAGGGAAATTGGGTGAAGGGTTTACAGGAACTCTCTGTACTGTATTTGCAACCTTTCTGTAAATCAACAATTATTCCAAAATAAACAGTTTATTTTGAAAAGAAAAGAAAAGAAAAGGAAAAAAAGAGTTAAACCTGTAGATTATATTTTACCATTTATTAAGATGCCTTAGTGACACTGCCCTAAGTTCAGATATAAAAGGCCAGTTTGGTTGGGGTGACAGAAGAGGACACTTAGGGGAAGGTGTGTGAAGGCACCCAGGCCTAGGAAGGCGGTGTCCTGGAGAAAGTGGGTTAGGGTACCAAAGTTTGACCCCAAACTTTGAATCACAGGAGCCCAGAAGCAGCTGAACCCACTCTTTCCAAACCTGCAGTTCTGAACGAGCGCAGGGAGCCAGGGGCTGCCTTCGGTTAGTCCACAGTGGATTTTTTAAATAGTTACGTGTTTTAATGTGCATTTTTGGAATGCATCAAAACCATGATTTACTTTGCTACATTTCTTTACTCAGTGTGTTTTTTGAGACTTATTTATGTTGTTGCATCCAATTCTAGCTCATTCATCGTAACAGCTAAAGATAACTCTCCCATTCATGGTCATTTAGTCCACTCTTTAACTTTCGCTATAACAAGCAGTTTGGGATTAGCAGAAACAAACTACTATCTATAAAACAGATGAACAACATGGTCCTAGGATGTATAGCACAAGGAACTATACTCAATACCTGGTCATCGCCTACGATGAATAAGAATATGAAAAGGAACATACATATATATGCAGAACAATCACTGTGCTGCACACCAGGAACTAACACGCCATTGTAGGTCAACTATACTTCAATTAAAAAAACACAAGTGCTTTTTGTGCTGTGCACCAGAAATTGACACATTGTAACTGACTATACTTCAATAAACAAACAAGAGATAAATAAATGCTTTCATGGATGTTATTTAGGGTAACTACAATTTTAAAGTTAATCTACAACATTTTGATTGAACCATAGTAGAAGGGCAGTGTGAGTATAATAAAGTTACGTAGATGCCTGAAGCTGGGGAGGCAATGAGTTAGATCAGCCGGGGGGGGAGCTCATTAGAATACAGATTCCTGGGCCGGGCTCCTTGAGGTTCTGATTCCATAAGAAAGGTGGGACCTAAGAAATTATTTTGTGTTTGTTTAAATTGCAGAAGATTAGCTGCTACAAGTTATTTTACACTTCAACAAAAACATTCAGACCTCATGAAAGAATATGTAGAAATAAGAGCATGCAGTAACCCTTCGTTTCTGTTTGTATGAGAAGTAGATCTCTGGAAGTGAGCATGCAAACTCTATATTTAGACTTTGTACGTATTGTGATTCTACTTTGGAAGGTGAAAGAAATTCCTCATTCTGAGCCCCTAAAATATAGGATTCCCCTCCGAAATGTAGGGAAAACTGATTTATACTCTGGTTTTCATAGCCTCCTTTGTGCAGACATGTTTCTTCTAGGTTCACAGTGTTCTCAGGGAGGCACAAAATAAAAATTCGTCATTTGTTCTCCTTCTGATCAAGGCCTTTTGTCAGTTGGTTATGGAAAGCTTTTGGTGGGGCACAGGCCTCAGGATACACATCCTTCCAAGACTTTGTTTCTTCTTTGACTCTTTTTTTTTTTTCAATTGACTTATAGTCAGTTATAATGTGTCAATTTCTGGTGTACAGCACAATGTCCCAGTCATACATAATATATACATATATTCATTTTCATATTCTTTTTGACTAAAGGTTATTACAAACTATTGAATATAGTTCCCTGTGCTACCCAGAAGAAATTTATTTTTTATCTATTTTCATACATGGTAGTTATCATTTGCAAATCTCAAACTCCCAGATTTTTATTTGACTCTTGATCACAGCAGATTATGTAAAGAAGTCTAAACTAAGTCACTGCTTCACCCACTGCAAAAGTAATTATAGCCTACGAAAACCAAGATGGTGCCTTTCGTAGCCTTGATGTAGAATGTGAGGGTGTATGTGGGGCCGTGGGAGGAAGAGTCTAAAGCTTAGAATTCCTGGGGAATCGACTGTCAAGTTCCCTTGGGAGTTCTTGAGGACCCTAAGGGCTTTCAAACTCTGAGCTGGAGTCTTTGTTGGCCACTAGTGCCTTTCCCCAGTGTGCCCTGAATCCTCTACACAGCCACGAGTGTAACCTAAGAAACCCAGATCTGTTTGTGCTACACATTAGCTGAAAATCCTCCCACTGCGCCCTAGTGGGTAAAAGTCCCTACTCTGTCGTAAGCGCTTCACAGTTTCTCCCTTGTCTGCTTCCTGCAGCCCCTGCCTGCTGTGCTCCAGCAGATATAAATGCCTCAGATACTCACTCTCCACTCCGTAGGTCAAGCCACCTTAGATGGATGCTCATTTCCTGGCTCTCCACTGGGCATGCCAGTCCTCAAGGTTCTGCTCAAATGTCACCTCTTCACACCTGCTCCACCTCATCCCCCTAGACAGAATTAATCCCCTCTTACGAACACTTCTGTGCAGCTCGTTGTGGTCACTCGACAAACATCACAAAGTACCTCCAACGTGCCAGGCGT